AATGAAAAGAGAAATCGATTAAGCGGTGACTGTCTGTCCGTGCGTCCGTCTGTGCACACGACAACTCGAGTAAAAATTGAGATATCTTAACGACACTTGGTACGTGAACTTCTTTTGGGCGTAGGACGGATGGTATTGAAAATGGGCGAAATCGGACAAAACCACGCCTACCTCCCATATAACGGTAATTTTCAGAAATACGAAAACTGCGATATTTGAGTAACTACTGAAGATAATTCACTCAAAATTGATACTTACAATGAGTTTTAGACGGAAAACATGAATTTTATAAATTTTTGGAAAATGGGCGTAGCCACGCCCACTTATGGTTACATGTGTATATCTTGGTAACCGCTACACCAATTTCTTCCAAACTTGGCACAGTTGTTGGTCCTGGTACAGCATACCAAATGGCCGAAAATTTTTAAAATCGGTCAATAACCACACCCACATCCCATATAACGGTAATTTCGAGAAATTCAAAATCTTCGATAAATCAGTAAATATTGAAGCTAATTTATTCAAAATTGATGGTTGCAACAATTCTTTACCAAGAAATACGTTTATGACAAAATTTTGGAAAATGGGTGTAGCACCGCCCACTTGTGATCACATATATGTATCTCACTAACCGTTCTAGCAATTTGTACCAAGCTCGGTATGGTTATTGTGCTTGCCACATAAAAGCAAACCGTTGAAAATTGTTGAAATCGGACTAAAATTGAGGCCGCTTTTCATATAACGGTAAATTTCAGAAATGCTTGAAATCCCCGGCTTATCATGTAGCGGTAGCTTTCGGAAAGGTGGAAAACATATATTTAATACTTGCGCCGGGTATTTAATGTTCGGCTCCGCCCGAACTTAGACTTTCTTACTTGTTTTGGTCTTGGTTTATTTTTCCTACAGGATGGTAAGATTTTTAGATATTTGTTCGCTTTTGTAAGACAATTCAAATAAAATTTTATTTCATCCCCTATTCGTGTGACATAAATATGGTCACCGTATACTATATATAACCTTTTTCCTTACCTCGGTATAAACTCCATTTCGTTTCCAAAGTGAATAAAAAACATTTCTTGATACGTGTATCTTTAGATTTTGATATTTATTCAGTGTATCAGTTTAAAACATGAAATTTCAATTAAACAAGTTTGTACAAATCCAGATTCAAGAAAATTAGAAAATATATCCACTTGAACATACATAGTATGTCGTTGACGATTTGTACATAATTACTTTATGGATATTTTTGAAAAATATTTATTTACATATATTTATATACTTACAAAACACCAGAACATCTTACTGTACAATAATTTTTCTTTAAAGCATAAACTACTTTAGTGCTAAATCATTATTTATTATTTTTCTTCGAATTCACGAAAAGTCCAAATAAGAAACCTAATCCTTTGTTATTTTTTGTTTAATGTCTCACGATTTAAGTGTTTAAGTGCAGTCAGACGTGGCAAAGCAATTAATTTCAGGAAGTCTGTGAAACTACTTTTTGGCTGATCAACCAATTTCACGCAAACACTTTATCCGATCCGATAAAAGATGGTAGCAGTAAAATTAAAAAAAAAAAAAACTAAAATTAAGGAACTGTATAAGCGCATATAGTAGATATCAATGATGATAGGTTTCCGAAACTTATGAGAACCACTTTTAGGAATTTACTCGCAAACTCTCCATATTCACTAGAATTTATTTTTGAAACTGCCAGAACACACCGAACAGCAGAACAGTCACGTAAGAATCATTAAAATCTAAAGAAAGCGTTGTCCTTGAGTTGTCCGAATGGGTCAAGAAGCTCTGTGGTAACAATATGCAAACTCTATCTAAGATTCTTTGAATTAAACCAAAAAATTTATAAAACATCACTAGCTTATTATTTTAATTTGGTAACTTCATTTTAACTTTTTTCTACGATTTCCTTTTCTTACTTCTAAAAAAGGTCAACCACGTCTCTTATTGGCATTTCGAATGGTCGCGGACCATACGTTCGTATGCTTTGAAGTTCAAAAAACAAGGAATATATAAATTTTTATAAAGTTTTTTTTTATGTTTCGATAGCATTTTTTAAGGTATATCTTTGGTGTAAAAGGGGTGATCTTTAGATTTTTATTTTTCAATATGCCAGCAATAAACATGCGGTCGCGAACGTATGAGTAATGGAAGTCGATTTTGACTGCAAATTGAAACATGCAAGAAACTGCGAAATGGAACAGAATATTCTAAATCGATTAATTTTATATTATAGTGGAATAAAGAAAAGTTCTCCAAACTAACTGCGCGTTGAGATATCTCTGTTAGTTTTTTATTTGTAGGCTTAAGTATCGGTCGCGAACGTACGGGTAGCAAGCTTAGGATTTGCTTAGGAATGCTTGTAAGTACCTGAAGAAGAAAATGTAGACTCACATAAATGTTTGCCAAAGTGATCAGAACGTCGGACTGAGTCGATTTAGCCAAGTCCATCTGTCTGTCTGTCTGAACGTAATTATGTCCCTCAGTTTTCGAGAAATCTGCCTGAAATTTGGTAAGCGAGTGTATATAATGTATTAATTATTTGTCAAAACTATCAAAATCGGACCACTATAACTTATAGCTCCAATACAACTGATTGCTCATATGACAAGAACCCATTGAACCCATTGATTCCACAGCACTTTCAGAAAATATAAAAATTGTTAGCGCAGCCAATGTTGTGTGATAACATTAAGGTTTAGTTTCTTTCTTGAATGTGATTGGTATTTCTTCATTTGCAATCATGCTTTGCAAGTTTTATTTCCAAAAGTGATTTCTAAAAAGTGACAAAAATCGCTTCATGGCTATTCACGCGAGAAATCGAAATTTCGTTTACTCTTTCTGATAGAAAAATGCGTTAAAAAGGTATTTGCATTTCCCTGTTTGACTGCACTTATACATATATACTAGATACATATGTATGTAGATCACAACGACTTTATTGAGCTTAAGCTCTACGCTGACTTGTAATTTTTCAGATTTGAAATTTGATGTTCGCATTTTTCGTTTGTATATAAATAAAAACTACTACTACACGAAGCAGACAATTTCAAGTGAGTTCGCTACTTTTGATTTCAGTACTAGAAAAAACAAGTTGCAAATCGAAAAATTACGTAACAACGCTGGGCGAAAATGTATGAATATGCTCTTATTTTTACATACGGACTATATAAGCATACTTACAATATAATTATTGCACCTCCATCTCGTACATAAATATGATTAAAACTAGAGCTACTAAATTTCGATTAAGAGTATAAATCATTATGATTAGTTGTTGATTATCTCCTTTTCCCTTGGTAACCAGGTAATTATTAGCTATTTATGCATAACCGGAAATAATCAAAAACAATTAAAAATAACGAAAAATGATACTGAAGGTGGCACATCGCCGAAACCGGTTTGTATCCGAACAAGCATAACGGAAACTCCTTCCAAAATAAATCATATACATACTGAACCAAGGAGAGTTTTTATGGTTTCAAAATTGGTTGAAAAATAGGACCAAAATCGTCATTTAAAAATTTCTGTTTTTATGTTTAGTTATTATTGCAACCTGTTTGAATCGAGTTGTTTTTGGCATTTTGTTTTACTTCTTATATTAAATTAAACTTTGTAATATAGATAATAAAGTGAAGGCAAAATTTATGACGAAGACGAAAATGAAAACAATGAGAAGTACTAAAGAGGGAAGAGTTAATTGAAATTTTTGGATAGGAATCGATATAAATTTAGTCATAAAAAACGTAGTTACCGGAAGTTATCAAGTTATCGAAATTCATTGAGTCATCGAAGTTTAAAGTTATCGAAATTTACGAGTTGGTAATGTTTATTTAGTTATCGCAACGTATCGAATTATTTAAATTTCTCAATTTTTATTGTTGTCGTAATTTGTTTAAGTTAAAAAAATTTATCGAGCTACATATCCTAAAGCATTGAGTTCTTTTAACTTATCAATATGTATTGATTTTTTGAAATTTTTCGATTCAGCAAATCGAAGTTTTTGGAATTGTAATATATATATCGAGTTATCGAAATTTCAATGTTTTATAAGTTTATCGAGTAATCACTGCTTATTGAATTTTATAGTGTTACCAGATTGTATCGAAATATCGGAATTATCGATTCATACACTTTTGAGTTATCGAAATTTATTTATTGGAAATTATCGAAAAATTCCCTTCCCAAAATTTCGAAGTAGTCCAGAAAATACCGAAACAGAGTTGAAAATACCAAAGTTGTCATTCAAAAGTACAAATCGTTACTTTGAAATTTATCAATGCAAACCTTACTTTTTAATTTTGCCCTACAAAATAAAATTCAGAAATAATTGGTGTCTTTCGCTCAAAATAATAAAAGTCAAAATTTACCTGATATTCTTTGCGTTTTTTTATAAAATGCACAAGCGGTTCGATCTCTGAGCTATGAACATACATACTAGTTAATCGTAGCCGAAATAATTAAAACAATAAAAAAATGGTACTTAATCGCGTATCGGTTTTCTTAAAAAAAAAACACGATCTAATCAACAGTCGTTGCGATTAATAATCATTATTTAACAGATCTGATTAAAACTTATACATACATATTTTACATGAATTCATTTAAATATCTACAATTAAATGCATTTAAAGTTAAATATTTAACATCGAATCAAAGCCCTACTTTCGCCACAAACACAAACATCTACACCGAATCAGACATCTGTCTCTGCCACTTTGGAGTCCGTCCGTACCGCCCCCGCTTTTGCCCTCAGAGCCGCGGACTGTCCAACACACTGTTTGTGGTCAACATGGTGCCGCTGTTGGCCATTATAATTGAGTTTCCCGCCACCGACTGATTCGATGAGTTCTTGCGCCGAAATAAACCACCGTTTAGTTGTATGCCTTTGAAGGTGTCGAGGAAGGCGCGTCGAAATCCCGCATTCATGAAGCAGTAGGTAATTGGATTACAACAGCTGCTGGAGTAGGCGAGCAATTGAAAAAACGAAATCGACGTGTAGTCCACATATTCGTAGATAGCTGGGCCTATGAACATCGCCACCGTGTTGATAACATATAACGGTGTCCAACAGATGAAGAACTCCAACACAAGCACAAATAGCATTTTGATAACGCGTTTCTTACTCTCCAGACTTTTGGTTTTATTGGATCTGCGTGCGGTGAGAAAATTTGTTAAAATAAACAAATGGAAAGAAAACCGTTAATCTAATAAATTGATGCGTAGCTGGGGTGCAATATATCACTATTCGAATGCTATTAATATGCTACATTAAATTTAAATCAAATTGCCGGTAAAATGGCGCTACATGTGCCCTAATCTCATTATAGCAGCTTGGCGGCTTAGAGGCCTATCGTTTCTTTGGTAAAAGAAGGCTGACATTAGTAGAGCTGTTTGTAAAAGTCACACGCAAATGTGACGGAGAATACTAAATTGCAAACAGCTCACTATATGTAAAGATATACATACATACTTACATATATGTACGAGCATATGTATCAAATAAAAGTTGCAGCATAACAATGAGCCATTTTATTTAGCCCTGTACCATTTGGGCATACTTACCTCCTTAATGCGGTGTCGTGTAACCGCAGACTTGGTGTTGATGTTGATTTACTTCGTTCCATATCCTGCTCTATATATAATTGTAGCTGTTGTTGTTGCCGCTGTTGGTTCAACTTGAAACGATGCTGCTGTGGCACATTAATCACAGTCATCGAGGCAGATGGTGATGTGCTGCTACCACTGCTGGCACCCATTCTCCCATTCCGATCATTATTATTGTGATTTAGTGATTTCATCGAACCGGCTTCCATGCAATACAAATGACGACGTTCGTCTGTCGCCGTGAGTAGTTTACGTTTATGATTTGCCGTTGTTGTTGGCATCGAATGCGTTGGGACGATGTCATCTGCAAGT